CTTCCCCATTTTTCGCTCACACTCTTACCATCTGTGCTTTACTCATTACGCACACAAGTAATGTGGCATATTTTGTTTCAAGACAGCTGCAGAAACGCAGTAATTCGATGAATATTGCGTTTATGTGGAACACCGACAAGTTGAAACACCTGCTAGGCTCTGCCATCGTGTTAGTTAGCCGACCGATTACATATTTCAGTGGCGGGTTCTTTCATTATTCTGCAGCTGCTTAATGTTCATTTATATCTCTTAGTTCTTTTTAATTTCTTTTTTTTTATTTTTGTTTATTCTTTTTTTTTTTTATATTTTATTTTGCATATTTGAGAAGCTACGTTTATTATAATTTCGGATTATATTTTCTCTTTCTGTTTTTGTTGCACTGTTGTTTTTTTACTCTTCTTCTTTATGCCCTAATTTTTTATTGATATATTCTATTTATGCATTTAAAAAAATTGAAAATAGTAGAAGTAAAATAGTAGTAATAAAAGAAGTAAAATAGTAATAGAAGAAAATAGTAGTAGAAAATAAGTTATAAAATATAGTTAAAATAAAGTTATAAAATATTTAAAATAAAATTATAATATTATCTAATTTTATTTATTTATAAAAATTTTTATCTGCATTCTGCTCATTAATTTTTGTATTTTACTTTTTTTATTTGCAATTATTGTGGTAAAATATAATAATTAATCGTAACAATAATACAAGACTTATTCGCAATTTGTACCCGTAAAAAATATCATGTTTTATATCGCGCATTTAACATGATAAAAACTTTAATTTCAGTTGAATTCAATCCAAATCGAAGTAAAGTCTCTTAAATGCGATTCGTCTTCAGTTAATGTGAATTCCCTGATTGAACATAGAGTAAATGTTGAAAGAGGGGAAGAAGGTAGAGAAAGAGAAATGGAAAAAAAGACACGAACAGTGACAGCTGGTACGGTAGTGGGAACGGTATCGTCGTATTTCGGTGAGTCGAGCACAGGGAATAGTGATCCCAAGACTACAGCTGTCGCGTCACACAGTGTTCCTCGACACAGGCTTGTAAGAAAACACTATTTGAAACAAAAAGGATATCGAATGCGGCTGAATGATCGTTTGAAAAGTCTCGAACATAAAATTTTTCTCACGATGAGAGAACGGGCATCATTGGAAAAACGTATTACGACATACGAGAATCAAGAATGGTCTGGTTTAAGCAAACGTATAAAAAGTTTAGAAAAGGCTCAAATCGAATTATCTGAAAAAATTTCGAATATTAGTAACGAGAACAATATCGATGAATCACTCGGCTCACTGTTCGATTCATTACGATCTCTTGAAGACGTCATGGAAAGAAATAATTCGTCTACAAAATGGGAATTGATGCGACTCGGTGTAAATGCCGCTCAAAAAGCGGCTGAACTTTCGTTGACTAGAGAAGAGCTAAACAATTTACGTCGTACCGTACAAGCTTTAAGCGTCAGTGCGTCTAAGCTTCAAGAGAAGAGCGATAAACAAGAGAAAGTGATTGATCGATTAAATGCTACTTGTTCGATAATCGATTTTCATCGATCTTCGATTACCTCGTTTATCTCGTCATCACTGGAATCGTCGAACGATGCGTTCTCGAATTTTGAAGAACTCGAAGATCGATATCATTTAATTCGACACAATTTGACTAGTGATTGTGTGCAAAACGAACCTATAAACGAACCTATGGACGGACTGAGACTTTTAAAAGCAGGTAAAGAAGGCAGACCGATATTAGTTTTTTGCCACGAAGGTTGGATCGTAATTGCCCGTCGTATCGATGGAACTCTCGATTTCGATCGCAATTGGAATGATTATTCTCTTGGTTTCGGATCACCGGTTAGCGAATATTGGATCGGTAATGAATTCCTTCATAGACTCACCAATTCTGACAATTGTACCAGTCTTCGTATCGATATGTTAGACATTTACGGCCAACATTGGCGTGCTGAATACGATTCGTTCAAGATTGAATCGAAAGAAAATGGTTATAGATTAGATGTTTACGGATATTCTGGTAACGCGACTGATGCTCTGTCTTATCAGAACGGAATGGCTTTCAGTGCAAAAGATCGAGACATGGACACTAGTACGACTCATTGCGCCAAAAACTATCATGGCGGATGGTGGTTTAGTCGATGCCAACATGCGAATTTGAATGGAAAATATTCTTTAGGTCTAACATGGTTTCGATCTGACATTAATCAATGGATGTCGATTGCTTCTTCAGAAATGTCCATACGCAGGAATACCGATTGTCGATCATGATAATGTTTGGTTAATGAATTCCTGTTTTTAAATACCAAAGATTTATATTAATTCTTTTGCTATTGCATAAGATATTTTATCATGATGTCGTTCATGCAATATTATGAATGAAATATTTCGCATTACAATATTATTTATATAACATTATATGACGAGATATTTTTCGCATGTTTTTTATTAGGATATGAGATATTTTATCTAAAAATTCATTAACTTTTTGAAAAAAAATTATTTAATACATAGAGAATATCATAATATTCTGTGAAAATAATTTGTTTCTTTATGTTGCTCATTAATAATATTGTTAAAATGTGAAATACAGTAATGTTTGTTTTATCTAGATTTTAATGTTCTACTAATCTGATTCATTTTCTTTCCTTTCTTTCAAAGTCTCTTTTTAAGTCAATTTGCAAAATAACGGATTCGATTGCAATTATGGACGCTAAAGTAGAGACTATTGTATTTCATGCGACGTTATGTAATAAACATTGCGATGTGATATTTTTCGTCCATCATATATATAAATATTTAAGTTGTAGTAAAAAGATTGCGACATGATATTTCATCTATAATCGTAAAGTCGTTGCATTAGCCATTGTTAATTCATAATTTCGTAATATATATTCGAATTACCAAATATTCGGATACGACATCACTACCTCTATATTTATTATCTTTATTAATGTTTATTCTTTAAATAAAATTTTTTTAATCTTATTACAAAATTTACACATCTATTTAATTGTATATATAATTATATAATTTACGAATAAAATTAATGATAATTCTAAAGATATATGAGAAATTTTATTTTTCTTTTTTTTTCTTCATAATATGATAGCTAATTATGATTCATATGAAATAAAACAAATTACCTTTTTTCTTATTGTTAAATTTTTTATCATTTTTATTTTTTTTTAAATTTTGTTTTAAATCAATATATTTTTTTTTCTGTTCTTCTCTAAAATTTTTCACATATTTTCAAGAATGATTTTATCATTTTTAAAATCATTATATAATGTTATTACTAAAGTTTATAATTTAATACATAAAATTATTTATATAATAAAATTGAAATTAAATTTTTATGCAAATATTATTAATGTAATTCTAATGACTTCATAAAATTCGTAAAATTACCTATCTTATGTATAATTAAATATTTCATAAACAAAAAAAGCTTTTCATGCGCATAAAAAATTTGTCAATTATTCTCTTAACTAAATTTTCTTTCATAAAATATGATAAGAAATATGATAAGAAATTATGTTGTCTTCTGTATAAGAAGATAAACCTTTATTTAAATAAATCTTTATTTAAATTATATTGGGCATGGCTAGATAATAAAATAATATAAAAATTTTAGATTCTTTGCGAAATATAAAAATCGAATAATAAAATTTCTCTATAAAATTCTTAATTAATTTATTAGGCAAAGAAGAATTATTAAAATTAATAAGATTGCCGTTTCTCGAGCATATAAATTTTATAATATTATGAATATAGAGAAAAAACAAATAATGAAAGATAAAAATTGGAAGTAAAAATTGAGGATTTAACGCCATCTCTAGAGTGTCTTAAATAAAACATGTATAGGCAAGGAGATAATAAAACAGAGAGTAAGAATTGATCATCAGCGCCATTTTTTGAATATCAAAAACATCTTAGACATTATAAGGTAAGGTAGAGTAAAAATTAAAGAAACGGGGCCATCTTTTGAATATGTTGTCAGATATTATTGACATTCAAATGACGCTGATAATTATTATTTCTATTTCTTCTATATTTATTCTTCTTATCTATAGTAGAATATAATTGTTTTATTTAATTATATATAATTATTCTAGAGATGACGCTGATTGTTTAATTTTTATTTTATTTCTGCCTTTTTTTTATTTGTTTTCCTTCCGGATTCTATAATACATCGTGGATCATAGTTGTCACATATACCAACGAAAATAAACAGGCTGTATTGGCGGAGATTACAATTTTCTTTTTGGTGAGTAATTTTTGAATATCATACAAGTAAAAAGATTATGGATAGATATATAGATATATTTGATATATGCAGCTGATGTAATAATATTTTTAAAAATATATTGAATAATGATCCATACAAAGAATTAATTTTATTTCTCAAAAATATAAAAGAGATGACAAAAAAAGCCACTATACAAAATTAAAAGAAATAAAAAAATAGATTCCATTTGCGCATTGATATAAAAAGCTGTAAAATATTGATTTAAAAAAAACGAAGATTTTGATTAAATAAAGAATTTGAAGATTGAAAATGAGATGATTTGAAAAATGAGCCGAGACATGAGCGTTTTCAATGAACGTATAATTATATATAACCTATCTCAAGCTATCTACTAAAACTATACGAATAAAAGTATATTATTTTATATAATTGTGCATTTGATGACGCTATATGTTCGATCAATAAAACAGTACATATCTATAATATCTATTAATGGGCAGTCGATAAAGTAAATATTTATAATGTAGATGAATTATAATAATTCGTATATCTTTAAGATTAGGAATTATAAAGCAGAATAATCACAAATTAGATAATTAACTAATTATTTTATGGATTTTTATAGCCAAATTTGACTGCCAAGTTAGAAATTTGATACTGATTTCAGCTTTATTAAATGAATATGCAATAATATAGTTATTGAAGTATTAGCATTTAGATATTAGATATAAGAAATATGTATTTGTTTATTTTATGTCTATTATTTTTTATATATATTTTATACAATAATTTATATAGTTTTGCACTTTTTCTTATGCACGAATAAGCTGCCAGAACTTCCATAGGAAGCGCCGCATGTTTTACAAACATATGGTTTCTCTCCTGTATGTGTGAATATATGTTCTTTTAGATATTTATGTCGATAAAAACATTTGCCACAAATTTCACAAGAATAATTTGCTTCACCTGTATGCAATCTTAAATGATATTTTAAACCATTTGAAGAAGCAAAAGTTACACTACAATATTGACAAATAAATGGTTTATCGCCCGTATGAATTTTTTCATGTCTTTTGGTGTAACTAGGAATCACAAATCGTTTATCACAGTATCGACATGGATAAGACTTTACAGCATCATGTGATTTCAAATGAAATCGCAATCCAGATTTCGAAGCAAAAGTTTTGCTACAGATATCGCACAGATATAGCATTTTCATTGTATCATTACAAATTTTCACCTTTTCCGTGGAAATATTATCGCCGCTTTCCTTGGAAGTATTATCACCACTTTCCTTGGAAATATTATCGCTTTCCTTCTCTATGTATTTATGTTCATTATTAAAAAAATAAATTTGATCGATTATCTTATCTTTTTTTTATTTTTTCCTTTTTCATCAAGATTTCGATCATCATTAAAAAATGGTGATATTGATTTCATCATTACCTTTTCTTTCACAATTTCATTATGAACAATTTTTGATTCAAAAATTTTTTTTCTTTCATATTGTGTATTTAATATAGAATTTTCACTTTTTCGTTCATTAAATGCTTGTTGATTCTTTTCCGAATCTTCGTTCAAATCGATTACATCAAGATTCGTACACATATTTGAATTAGCTTTAACATTGTAATCCTAAAATTACAATTTTTTTAATATTGTTCTTTTTGTTACAAAAAGAAAATTATCAGAAAAATCTAATTTTGAAAATAACTTATACTTATTCAAAGTAAATTGATAATCAAACTTACCAAAACAGTTTTGTAATCTGATATTTTAACAAGATCAAGTTTGTCCGAGATACACGATTCGTAATATGATCGCAAGAAATGTTCCGATTTTCTGCATTGTTCGCGAAACTCGAACGTAGCGGCTACCTTTTCCTCGCATTCGTGACATATCATCTTCGGTAGTCTGTCGTCTTCCAACTGATATGAAAAAAAAGATATATATATACACACACACATAAAAACATATTTACACATACATATAAAAAATTTGTTTTGAATTTAGAAGTAAAAAATAAAATGTGCAAGGAGAAAAAACAAAAAATTGCGAATTCGATTAAAAATCATAATATAAAGTATTAAGATTACTCACCGTAATAGGACAACAATCTCGAATACGAGAAACCAAGCATTTTGAGTTTTCTTTGTCGGTAAATATCGATATTAAATGATTTTCGACGCGAAGGCATAACCTACACATTTTGTTGAATGCGCAAGTTTCTGCGCCGCTCAATGAATGCTTCATTTTATTGTGTAATGTGTCCATTATTATCGTTTTTATTGTTTTTATTATTATTGTCTTGAAATTTTAATTATTTTCATGATTTTTATAATCAATTTATAATAATGTTATCTTTATATTAATATTTCTTTTCTTAATAATGCAAGTTACGAATTGTATACAATACTTGATTTCTCATATAATACCAACGTAATAAACTCTCGATGAGGGAAGGGAGACCACGTGTATAATTTAACCCTTTCGCTACGAGTATGTGCTCTCACTCCTACTAAAAGAATTTTTTATTTAAATCGATTTATCCGAATATAAAAGCTACTGATTATAATATTAAAAAATATTTTATAGAAAAAATTAATGATTTGAAAAGATATATAATTTAATATAGGAGATTTTTTCCTATATTAGGTTGAATCATAAAAGATATTTTAGAATTTAGATTATTTCCTTTTTTCGAATAGACTTTTAAATAAAATGAATATATAGCTGATAGCTATTTTTTAATAAAAAAAAAAAAACTAAATCACTTATGCCAGTGAGTTTAGATATAATACTAATCTTATAAAATTTAGCATATAAAAAACAAGAAAATAGCAATGTAAAATAATTTTGTTTATATTTTTTTTGTTTTTCATTTAGTAATTTTCACAAAATTCAAATTAAAATATTTTTTAAATTAATAGTTTTTCAGTAATCATTTAGTAATTTTTTTATAAAAAAAAAAAACCTTCATCATCTATACATATCTATATATACATAAATATAAATAAATATATACAAATTTGTCTTAATGATCATTATTTTTTTAAAATTATAATTAGTACTAATTTGACAATCTTTTAACATACAGAAGAATATTCAATACTATTCGATTACCATCGTTTTTATTATAGTACATCTTTCGAAAGAGATACAGGAAATATACATACTTAATAACAAGAACGGATTAATTAATCGGAAAAGGATGTTGCTTGTGCACGAACAATATATCATGGAGAATGAATAATTGCATTCGGACGAGTTTAACATCTATTTTCGATAGGAAGTCTATTGAGCACATTACTCGTTGACGTATTCTTTCTTGCACATACATAATTATGGAATAGAATGATAACGATGAAAATGACAATACGAGACAATATCATAAATGATATTGCTTCAATGAGAACATCATTTAAATACATAATTTGAAGCCCGATACACGTTGCATAAAGATAAACAGGAGCAAAGGCAGATTTTTCACAATTGTGTCCACACATTATGACTATATATTTCTTGTTGGTTTGTTATTTGTTCGTATGTGAATATAATACTGGATCTCTAATACTGTGAAAAATATTAATATTAGACGTAAAATATTCCTGCTACGATCGATAAAATGTTTGTACTTCCTTATTATATCGAAAGGAAAAATTGTTCTAAAATGTAAAATTAAAAACGATCGTAAAAGCAGAAACACCCATAGATAAAAGAAAAGAAAATATAAACGATAGGTAAAAAAAAAAAAAAAAAAATAAGACAAAAACGATGAGATTTAAAGAGAAAATTATATATAGAGAAAAATATTCAAAAAATAGAATAATAAATGTGTATGAAATTTTTTTACCAGATCACATGTATTTCGGGCAAAACTTTGCATTATCGATCGACAAGATTGATCAAAAAAAAATGCTAGAGCCCAAAATTCCTAATAATCCATAGTTCCTAATAATTCCATAGTTTTGTTCGAATGATTGTCATTTTCTGTTTCTATGATAATACATATACGTATACTTGGATACACAAGATCTCAAGATTCGCTTTCTCGACAATGATTCAATGTATCGAGTTTACAATGTATATTATGTACGTTCAAATACTTTTGATAAATTACAATTTTGTTGAATAATTATCAAAAGATAATTCGTAAGAACACGAACACGTCATTCGTTTGTATCGACTTTTTCCTGTTCGTTTCTGATTGTCGACGATTGTCCAAGATTGCCTATAAGATTGTCCACGATTGTCCACGCATTATTTAACGATTTCTGTACGATCAGAATTGTGATCAAGCACAAACGTGAAATAATTCTTATCCCGAACACCTTAAGGACACTTTATTTTCTAGTGTCATATGATACTCCAGAAAAACAATCAGTCTCTGTTGCCTGCAAATACGTATTTATATTTTAAACACACACGCATTTTTCTCTTCCTTTTTTTTTTTTTTCTTCTTCATTCTCTTATATCCACATCGATCGTACATATATTTGCGCATATACATACAAACATATACACACAAACATATACACATACGTACATACACTCCAAAATATAGAAATATCAATATATTATAACAATATATTTTTATAGGATTAAAAAATTTTAAATACAATCGAGTAGAGGAAGTGTTGCCAAAGTATATAGTATAAGTATATATTTAAATTGTAATGCGCACAAATGTACGCATTTGATATGTATATATGTATATCGAAATATATATATATATATATAGATATGACAGTTTTAAAATACATTCTTATGCAATTCCAATTTTAAAAAGTAACTTTGATATTCATATTCCATTTTGGTATCCATTCTCTCTATCAACTTGCAATACACAACTTATACATAAATATTCTAATTCTATATAACACGTCTTACCTCTTTCAAATATTTCTTATACGCATGTATATATTCTTTTATCATAAGTGGACATAATATATGTATATGCAATTGACATTAAATTTATTTTCTTTTAAAATTACCCATTGTCATTTCTTTCGATTGATTGATTTTCAATCAAAAAAATAAATAACTTTGACCATATTCATATTGATCATATTATGTTCTTTCTAAATTATTCTTTCCCTTTCTTTCTCTTTCTTTCTCTAGATTTAGACATTTAGAGAAAAGAATAAAAAATCTGAGATAATTATTTGTATTAAGATTGACTTGGAATTACACATACGTCAATACACATTTTATTGCAAAAATGCATGAGTAGAAATTTATAGAAAAAATAATAGAAAGAGATGGAAAAAGAAAGAAGCATTTTAACTTCATTAATTGTTCATAAAAGTTAGATATATATATATTTACAAATTATTCGTATGATATAATATATATATATATATATGTAACCTCATTGAAAATATTATTAAGATTGAAAACTTTTGTGACTGACTGTACACATGCACGTGTAGTCGATGTTAAAATAACAAAATTTAATGAGAATTCGTTTTTCTCTTTTTGATTAAGAATCATATATTCCCATTTTCCTATTATGTATTGCATTACTTTCATTTATTAGTCAATTCGTTGCAAATTGTTCCATAGACTACACGTGCAATTACACATGATGGTACACACGTGTATATACTTTTATACATGTTCATACTTTATTGGAATCTTGAATAATGACACAGATAATATAACTAATGTAATTTTTATGAGGTTAGGCCACTTTAAAAGGTCTCAAGTCGTTTGATTTCTTTACAAGAAATCAAAGTCCGTGCTCATTTATAGAAGTGATCTTCACCGATACATTTCAAGGTCCAATTTATTATGTATGTAAATAAGTGTAGTGGAATATATCTTAAGGACAAAAGTTATTTGTATATATACGTTCAATGCCGTTTCTGATTGGATGTTCTAGATGCCTCTGGATGACCAAAAACCAATTGAATTATTTATTTTATATAAAATTTTAATTAATAATTATATATTTTATATAAAAAAAAATATTGGCAAAAATTTAGATTTGTTAAAAATAATTGACAAATTGCATTAAAAAGAAACAAGTAATGTAAATTTGGCAAAATCAATTTCTTTTACTTTCATTAAACAGAGTATTAATAGTTGTTTTGTTACTTTTATATTTATATTTATGAAATATTTGTTTTGTTATTTTATGTAAATAAAAATTAAAATATATTTTTTTTTGCACGATAATTGTTTATAATTATTCATATATAAATATAAAAGTAAACATTGCATATCAAATTCTTAAATAATATTAAATTAAGGACGGCAATATTATTTTTATACTTAGACGGCTAACGATGTAGGAACGGCACTGTATACTGTATACCATACAATTAGATGTATAGCATTGTAGCAATAATAATAAATGAAACAAATTACCATTTTATCGTTAACAGGAGATGGCTATAAAATTATTTTTTTTCGTTCCTCTATGTCTCCTTTTGTCGCACGGACGGTAACCAATTGTTCCTTACGTTGTTAATGTTAACGTAAATATCCTACGAAACTTGATCGTCGACGAAAGATTTAACCATCGAATTGTTTGTTGAAGAATTGATACTGTAACGGAACGAAAAATAACCGTATAATTACAACTATTATTAATTTTTTAAATAGATCAAGAAAAATATATATATATATAAATACAGATCAAACTATTGATCGATTAATCTAATTTTTCTTCGTCAATTAACGAAAAATCATCGAATATAATACGTGCACATGAAAAAAATAGCTGCGAAGCAGTTAATATTTATACATATTGATCTATATGTATATTCTACTATTGTTAATTTTAAAACATCCTATCTAGTGCTTTTTTTTTTATTTTTAAATATATATATTGAAATATTTTAAATTTTACTTTGTCTTTTAACTTCTGAGTAAGGTTCTAAAAGATCTTAACTTCACTTTTCAAGGATCTAGAATTTTAAAATTTACAAAATCTAGTTTTACAATATCTAATCTATTCTTTTTAACAAAAAAATGTTTAAAGAAAATGATAAAAATTTCAATTTTCATCTTGAAATGTTAGATAGGATATTTTACTTAAGAAGCAGTATTATAAAAAAAATTGGACAAACTAGTATACAAAATAGATGCAAATAACTAGAAAACAGGTTGGAAGGAATACAAGCAAGAGAGAGAGAGAGAGAGAGAAAGAGAAAGAGAGAGAAAGAAAGACAGAGAGAAGCTGGGAAAAGGCAGGATAAGCAAGGACCGCCTCTTTGCTATGAGAGAAAAAAAAAAAAAGATATATCTTTACTCGAAAAATTATTCAAAATGTAATCTAAATTTTGTTATAATCGTTTATAAAGCGAAAATCTAAAATATAATATGACGTTGATGTGCGTGTTTTCCTTTTCTTTCCTTTCATTTCTTCTTCTTCTTCTTCTTCTTTCTTTTTTTTTTTTTTCCGAAAGAAGAAAAACACATCGTCGCGAGCGATTGTATTTAAAAAATCGTGTCTCGTTAAGAAAAATTTCATATCGTTAAAGAGAAAGAAAAGAGAGCATCGGCGACTTTGGATAAGCTAGTGAATATCCTTACACTGTGACGGAGGGTCAGTGGAAAGACTGTCCCGGTAGCTGGAGTAATGGAGAAAGTGTTGGTGGTTGTGGTGGTGGTTGTGGTGGTGGTGGTGGTGGTGGTGGTAGTCCATTGAGGTTGAGGCAGATGGGGGGTTGTTGTCTTACCATGCTGGAGCCAACCTGCTGCAGCAGTCCTTGCTGGGAAGACGTTGAAGAGACCGAAGGACGTCTCGAGCCTCGTATACTATTCATGCTCGAGCTAACCAGGTACGGAACACTGCTACTGGTAATCGGCATTCCACCCTATCGAATTTAACGAGATAATCGTATGCTCCTCCTTTTTTTTTTTTTTTTCTAACAACTTTACGATTGTTGATCAATTTTTTCCTCTTATCTTATTTACTATTTTTCTTTTTATCCATCGTAATAATTATTAAATTATAATATAATTTTTATATTATAATATGCGTTGTATAGAATAAGGAATGAAACAACGAGTCGAATTTTTCGAAGGAAAAAGATTAATTGATAAAAATGTAACGTAGATACAATACCAAGGGGGGCGATAAATTTATGTTAGACCCGCGTCGGTCTTGAGGACCAGTGCTCGAATGTCGTCGAATAGGTAATCCATCACCTGGTGTAGCACCCGGGGAACTTTCGCACGACGGTGCTACCCGTATTTTCGGTGTCATCAGAGTATTATCCGATAACCGTCTGCTCGTAAAAGTATTCGTCACTTTTAAGAAATTACTGTTATCGTTGTTCGATGATGAGAACCATCTGAACATGGCTGAATAGAAGAATGGCAAAATAAATAAATGGATTAAAATGGACATTGGAAAAAGAAAGGAAGAATATTTAGAAATCGCTTACTTATCATCGAGTTCTTTCTTGCCATGTTTTCAGCTGAAACTGTCGTCGACATCGAATCTATAACAAAGAGATCAGTTATCAAATGTATATCATTATATTTATGCTTCATAAATTATTTTCTTACTCGTGCTATTTTTCCGAGCCATGTCTTCAGCCGAAGAAGTTTTACGTTGCTCGATACGTAGATTTGGTATATTAAAGGGGGCAACATACATATTGTCCGTACTGTGTTGATGTCGCAAACTTCGATACCGTTCCGGGCTCGACAATGACAAATTATCCAGCGTTAATTGATTTCTTTGATTCCTGATTTCAAAGGGACAAAAAGCAAGCAAACGAACACAACAGGAACAGAAACAAGAATACAACAAAAAGTTCAAAAGAAACGAAAAGAAAAAAGAAAATATAACGTTAAGAAACGTAAAAAAAAAAAAAACGATTATTCATTCGATTATTCATCTCGTAAAATTTTGTATGTAAAATCTGTAACAATTTTGCTTCACCTTTCGATGTGATTCAGCATATCTTGTAACACTTTGAGAAGTAGCTCAAACTGCTCGAGATTCAATGCTGGGTTAATAGTTTGAGGTAGTAAAGAAGGCATTGCTCTAGTCGCCATCCAATTCACAGATAATCCATATTTTTTGTCATTTAACATCAATCTGTAAATTTCTGTAGAAATCGAATTGTAACTCCAATCCATCAGCAATAATAATTATATATTGTGTCTATATGTATACATACGTATGAATACACTCCATTTGAAAGTTACAAATCATTGTTTTCATGTTTTTATGTTTATAATACATTGCATATAATACAATACATATTAACATATCATGAGATGGACTATATGTTGGAAAGTTAATTCTAGAGAATACAATATAAAAAAACATACAAAAAATGTCGAATAAATGCTTATCTATTAAGTTATAAGCAATTTAAATTAAATGAAATTTTTATATACTAATTTTTGCATTTGTTTTCATCTTTAGAATTGATCTTTCTAAGTATCCAATGAATATATCAATACTGTATAATATATGACTTTATATATGTATAGTATATAGTTTATTTATTTATACTTTATATTATATTTTATATTATTGTATAAGTATAATATACAACAATTTTAATATCGAATAAGATTGTAAGATCTTTTTATAGGAAGGTATGTATACGTGACATATAACGTAATAAGCATAAAAATGATACGTTACTTACTTACAACCCGAACGATTATCTCCGGTTCTTGAAGTTTTACATTGAACAATAATGGTAAAATACAATCGATGATTTTCTGCTTTTCCAAACGATTTAAAATACAGGGTATCACGTTCATAAGTATTCGGGAATCCACTAGATTTTTTTCAAATGCTTGAAGTAATTTCGGCAACACGATGTTTCGAACAGCCTCATCGTGTATGTAATCGGTCACATTAGACACGGCTACGAACGCTGCAGTCTACGAAACATTTTTCAACATATTTTTCACAACTTTGTGTATTTGTATTAGAACAGTGATAACTATTTTTCGTCTTAAAAATTTTTTTTTTACACGCGTGATATGATTGTAATTCATTCTTTCAATTTTTTGCATATCTACGTACCTGCACTTGAGTGGTTGAATTCTCAAAGGATGTATATAACATCGGAAGCACTTCGCTTTCTATATATTCTCGAGATGTTTTTTTTAATATCAAATGCAAATTTTCCAGCAACGTAACCGTTCCGTGAATCGATTTACGATTCGAGAAAAGCGATCTACACGATGATTCCACGAGTAAATTAATTGTACAATGTACGAACATAAATAAAAAAAAAAAAAAGAAGAAAAAGAGAGAACTCGTTAATTTTTCTATAACATCTTACCGTAACGATGGAAATACAATTTGATCGTATTCCTCTTGTGTACTATTTTGTACGATATAAAGTACTGGTTGTAATACAGCCGATTGAACTTCTTCACTTTCCAATTCAGTTTGCAGATACGTCCAAATATGTTGATACCAAAGTTTCTATAAATTCGAATACGCTTTCATCCTTGCATCGTATACAAAAATAAACGCTTATATTATCTTGTATATAAATATAATATTACCCTTGGTATATAAGGTAATATTCCTTTTAAAGTAGTTGTATAAAAATGCTCCTTTTGCAACGCATCTTTCATCTTACTGACGTCGAGAAATTGAAGCGCGTATACGGGTGGATCTCTGCAATAAAATAGCTCGAGATATTTTTTTTTTTTCTTTTTTTGAAAAAGAAATGCGTAGAAAATATATAAAAGATATGTTAGAATAAAAATTGCATACTGAAAATATTTGATCATGGATAAAACTTGAATGGTTGGCCTCTTCTCTGGATCGATGTGTAAAAGTCGGGAAACAGCTTCTCGAAGAGGAAGAGGAACTAAAGGTAATATCACATGGACTTGTTCTTCGAGCTACGGAAATAAAGAAGGAGAATTAATTAAATATTATCGAAAATATTGAAAAGAAAAACGCGCAAAGATCACGTATAATAATATCGTGGAACATGGAATATGGCACAAAGAGAGATTTAGAAAATTCAGAATTTCATTAATGATCTGATTACTTACGTTTTCTACTTGTTTCAAATAGTCGGAACAGTTATGATTCGCTTGAATCAATGGCCGTCCTTGATTGAAAATTGCGCATATTGTCATACCAAAGCTATACATGTCGCTGTAGAAGCCCCCCTCTTTCTTTTGCTGTATTTCCGGTGCTATATATACGAGATTGTTTAAATAATTGACAAATTGTGAAGAATCGAAAGAAAGATTAATGAATTTGAAGCTCAACCATTTTTATATTCTTACCTATGTAATCGAGATTCGGCTGCGTCATTTTCGACATGCGATTGGTCCAAGGTTGCAACGATATCATTGGCAATTCCTTCATTTTTTCTAGAAAAAATAAAAAAAGTATATTATAACGAATCGAATTCGAGATATTGAATGTCGAAAATTAAATTATTGTCATTTGCTTACCGATAAATTCGAGACCTGACAATTTCCAAGTGCCCCTTTTCGTAATTATTATGCTCGCGGGACAAACGTTCCTGTGAAGGACTTTGCGTGTTCCGTGAAGATAAAGTAAAGCCTCTGTGATCTAAGAAAAAAGAAGAGAGAGAGAGAGAGAGAGAGAGAGAAGGAGAGAGAGAAGAAAAGAGAAGAGAGATAGATAAAAAAGAAAAGAAAAATACAAGAGAGAAGGAAAAAGGAATCCATAGTCTAAAATAAATTTAATAGATATTTAATATAAAATCGATGAATTTCTCACCTGCAACAATCCATATTTGATCTCTATATCAAGTAACTCGTACTCTTTCGTAAATGGGGCACGATGACTAGGGGTTGAAGAAGTTTGTTTCGTTACGTTAGTTGACGATTGGCCAACGTTATTCGCCCGTTGCTCTTGATAGGCTAAAACATTCGCAAGACTAGCGAGAACTGGCTCGGACGCGAATGCTAAACTATCAGCGCACTCTTCGACCTTGTATGCCTAGACAGATAGACAAATTCTAGAACGATCACGCTTCGTATAGGAAATCAAAAATAAAAAGAAAAAAAAGAGAAAAAAAAGTAGACATTTTACCTGCAGAATCTTTGGATGAGAAACTCGTTCCATTTGTCGTGCTCCGTTTCGTAAAATTTCCGTAACCGCTTCTTTCCGCTTCGGTTTGTGAAGTTTATCGACCGATCTTTTGTCAAAGAAAAATATCGAGACTTCCTAAAATGAAAGAGAAAGAGTTAATTTTAAGAATAATAAAATTTTTCACGAAATTTTGCACAATATTATTTTTTTTTTTTTTAGGAAAAAAAGAACATTAATATTAGCGGATAATAAATAAGGATATTGCATATTTTTTGAGAATAAAACTTTCGAGAATTATCCTTCGAGAAATTGAGAGATTGATTACGCGACGATAGAAGAAGAATAATTGTGGAAAATAAATCTCGAGAGTTTTACTTTTTTAAAATATATAATCACATCCTAAAAAGAAGAATTGGATAAAAAATGAAATATTACCTTTCGATCCGCTTTCGTGTATCCGTTGTATATACGCCAAGCGTTTTCGGGTCCTGCTGTAGCCGTTTGTTTGCCAACGTCGTACAAATTCTGAAGGGGATTAGGAAGTAGAACGCTCGGTGTCGAGCCACTACTTTTCGACTTGGCAAACATAACGACACTTATGTTAATCCTCAATGTTCATCGAATCACTTTCGATCGTATTAATCGCTTCTTTCAATTTCCCTTTTAATCGTCTTATCGGACGGACACACACCTGTTATACCTGATCAAGTATAAATCTTTCCTTAAATTGATACATTCTTCGATGATAACAATCATTATGATTCAATCGATCATTCTCATATTTCGTGTATATTTATATATATGCCAATATTTTCCCCAATTTCCCTATTCACGTCTTTTTTTTTCTTTCTCCCTTCTGAATTTGCGGCTCTACTTTCTCTTCTTCTCCTTACGCAACTCCTTATCGATTTACCACCTCATAGTACCTCCTCATAGGCAATCCTGTATACGTATGCTCCGCAACGAATGAGTATAATTCGAAGGATAAAAGCGGATCGGATCGAATAGGATCGCATCATTTTGAATCGTTGTAACAATCAGAAATAAATATATTTTTCGTTCGTTCATCTTCGAGTTAGATAAATACAGAAGTGTTCTCGAGGTGTTTTAATTTACTTATTTTTTTTGTATTTTATGTTTTTTTTTCTTGTAATAATAGACGTTATATTTTTCATATAGATTTATCCAAAATGTGAATAAATGAAAATGAGAAAAGATTCGTTCGAATTTTAATATTTATTTAAATTAAATTTCACCGGGTTTAAAGATCAAAAAATAAAAATAATTTTCACAATGATGTAATTTGTATGGTTTTGTATGATTGGAAAAATGGAAAAATTATTAGTGACAGTTTTATTTTTCGTTTCAAGAGATAATAGTGTTTAATTAATTAACGTTAGTTTTGATTTAGGATAAAAAATTTGTATCGATGATAGAAAAGATTGATAGAAAAGAAATAGCGCGATATTTTTTTGAACGAAATATTCAAAACATCGCGAAAGTTATCAACAACTATTGAAAATCTATGATTGATTTAATGAAGCTATCTAGAATCATCTGATATCGAACGGATTGTTTAAAATATGATCTCACAATCTTTTAATTCTAATCAGGAATCAATATCGATATACGTAAAGCGAGAAATTTAAGAATGGTATATCGATGCCATATTCATCGAGATTATCCATCCAGATGACTATGCTCAATTGAAACTTGATTCATTTAGCACAAATCCACAGAGAACTCGATCGATTCGAATATGTATAATCCATGCATTGCAATTATTCAAAGATAGCAAACAGCAGTTTATCACTTATGACAAATAATCGCCTACGAATAATTTGCTGTCCTTCGTTGAATAATATAACAAATTATTAGATACCAACGATAACCAGTAACGTATTAATGAAATTATGATAAAACAGTAAATGAAAAAAAAATGAAACTCGAATACAAGGAGAAGATTAGATAAAGTAAAAGAAATGAAAAGGAAAGTAAAGAAAAAAACGAGAAGGAAGGATAAGACAAGAATATAGATGCATCTAGAATGAAAAAGACAAAGAGAGTATAGTGAAGAAGAGAGAGAGAGAAAACAAGAGGAAATAATGGAAAAAAGATTGGTAAAGGAGACGAAGAAAAAAATGCAGAACTGTTGAAAGTTCAGAATGGCTCACCTGTTGCCGACGACAACGGGAATAGAAGCACTATAAGCATGAAGAAACCGAAAGAAGGATAATGCGCGATGCGCGATGGTTCGGAGCACGCGCGCACCGCGCGAGGATCGCGCGAGGAATCCAAAGGAACAAGTAGGATACGATTGACACGCGGCTGCATCACCATTCGATACGAATTGTCACACACCTTTTGATAATCAAAATTTCTTTTCTTCAAACTGTCACTTAAATATCTCCACTAACATTGAACAACTCACTAACCATCATGCCATAAACACTTTGATCGTTCGTTTTCTACATTCGAAAATCAACGTATCTCTATTTCTTCCTTTCTTCCGTCGTCTAATCCACGTTTTTATTTTCCTTCTTTTCCCTGTTCTTTCATTCGGCGTCTTCGCTAACGTATCTGACACTTGATACGTACTAAACGTTGTTATTGCTGTTGTTTTCGTTACTCTCGTACTCGCGTCTATTTTCGTCTTTGTTCTTGTTCTTATCCTTGTTCTTGTTCTTATTCCCGATACTATTTCCGTCTTTGTTTTCGAGTATTTGTCGGGTTAATTAATAATAACGATAATGATGTAAGGTGGTATTATCGTTGCAATAATTGACAACGTTATAAAACTTTCGTCTTCGTTTTCGATCTCTTTTTTATTCTCGATGATGAACGTTGTGCGAATTAACGTTGGTATATTCGATAGAAGAGCGAGAAAGTCGCAAGGAAATGATAAAAAGACGCATGCGCGTCCTCCGATCCCGGCTATGGCTTTGGCTACGACCTCGACTCCAGCTTGGTTCCGGCTCTGGCCAGGGTGTAGGTCTCTGCCTGGAAATTATAGGTCTGGGCTGCAGGTAGCTGCGGCTGCGGGTCACGGGACAGCGGATAGGGGTTAGGGGATGCCATACTTTGGTCTAAAAGTAGGGAGAATTAACTGGGAGAGGTAGGGGTTACCCCATCGCAACTTACAGATTACGGATTACCAATTATGGATTACAATTCACGAATGTGGTGGGACGGGAAAACGAGAAGAACAAACGACAGAAACAGGAAGCGTGGGATTGAAAAAGGTGAAGAGAAGGTGAAAATAGGTCAAATTAATTCTTATGTATATGCATAATATGTATATACATATGTATATATGTATACACACATTTATATATATATTTATACATGACTAATTCCTCTATGTATGTATATTACAGATTTCCTTATTGATTAAATGATTATAAATTCATGTCAAATTATTAATCAAATATATTTTCTGTTAAAAAATACTACTTAATTTTCTTTTTTTCTATAACTTAAGTGAAAATAATATATTTTTTGATTTTTGAAAATGTTTGATTAAAGTTGTCGCTTTTATCAATCTTTTTTTTTTTCAACTATTTATCAACTAAGTTTTTAATTATTTGATCAATGTTGTAAATCGAAATAAATATATGTGATCAAACATCATATATATATATATATATATATATATATATATATATTATTACGAC